CTCCTTTGACCAAACGTGTGCTAAACAATTGTGGTAGCTCCCCTTCTGCTATGGGTTATTCGCGTTTCCGGTATCATCCTATCATGCCTTCACTATTACATTTTTACCGTGTTTATTCAAATAGTATGGGCGACATGACACCTTCACACTCCAACTGTTGTTGCCACCCCCCCTTTCATCCTTGTGCAGGGAATGTTGATCAGAGTCTGCTTTATTATTATTATGCAGTCTCTCTCTTGCTCCGTAAAATCCATCTGCTCTCTCCCTCGTTCACATATTTCACTTGACTCGTGTCACCCCATCTGTACCACTCGAGGCGTTATTCGCCCTCACCTGCGTCTGGGTGACTAATTCGAGGAACAAGCCTCTGAGTGCCATGGTCACCCCATTGCTGCATGTACCACGTTTCTGGTACAGCAGACCTACCGTCAGCCAACTAGCTCCGGTCCCCGCCGTCTCTATCCTGTTTCTATTCCTAATACCAAGTCTATGATTCGCCATGCCCTAGTCTCTTGTGTGCCAACCCACAAATGTTGTGGTACAGCTTGTTTTGATTTGGTTCAATGTTGCACCACAATGTGTGAAGGGTTTCCATGGCTGCCACTCAAAGGAGCACATCACATAAAATCGAAATTAGCACGGAAATAAATCGTGCAGTAAAGGAGTGATGCAAGGATATAGGAAATGTGAATAGCCCAGAGCAGAAGGGAAGATACCACAACTGTTTAGCACACATTTGATCAAAGGATCGGTTTCACTTGTCTCTTTGACGAGTTGTTGTATGGTGCTACTAAGGACGATACTCACTGACGATGCCGGCGAAACTTTTAGGAATGTACCACGTCCACGGTCCGACTGTGGAAATGATGATGCATACAATGGACTCCGGACTAGGTGGGCTCGAACAACGTCTACACAACGAAAAGATACTGCGACCACACAAAAGGACACACCATCTTGATCTTCATACCTTCGATTAAATTATTTGATTTTAATTAATTATAAATTTATTAATCTTATTAATAATAATAATGTTTGGGCTTGAATTTGGATGGCAGTAATGTAGGACAACGAGAGAGCATCGTGGCACACTTGGCAACTTACCGCCTTGTTGCCAAGCCGTCGGCTGACTGACCAAATCTCCTGGCATCGTAACCACCCTATAGCGGTACCGATAGACTGCCTCTGCTTGGAGAGCGCTGACGATGACAGTCGTCTCGTCTAAAAGAGAAAGCAAACATGAAATGAACGCAGAGCCAAATGGGGGCATCAAGTGACAAAAAACCGTCTCGAAAATGGCAAATCCCTGTCTGGAAAGGGGATCTGCGGACGCGGCCAGCATCACTAAGCCGTAGTTATGAGAATACGCAAGTTTCCAATGCTACATAAAAAATTAAAATGCCCTGACGCCAGCTCGAGACTCGAAGAGCCCATCGAGTGAGCAGCTATCGAGAGCATCAGGTAATATTAATGGAACTTTGGGAGGCGTTATTGCATTTGCAAGCCCAGCCTGTATTTGCCGCTACTCTCAAATATACTACTACTTACGTAGTAAGTAGTTTTCGGAATAATCAGTAAAACTTGAGTACGAACTGGAGAGGAATTACGTTCAGTGAATTGTGGTAAGGAGACATGTCTGGGTTGGCCACAGCCAAATTGGTAGGACCCCTCACAATGCATTTGAGATTTATTCCGTCTTGCCTCATAAAAGATTGAAATCAATCGGTCTCCGGGCGTGAATCCATCGCCAGAATTATGTTGTCAGTTGGAAAGAAACAATGTCCTTCTTCATGTTTACGTAGCCCTCCAAGGTCCGTCTGCTTGTTCGCCTGACTAGGTCCTCTCCCCAATTCAAGAGACACAGGTCGCCCAAACAGGCATATCTTTTGGAATATGACAAGACCTTTTTGATGATCCCCGTCGATACGAATGCATACGGTCCTGTCATCCCAGCGATTGGTGAAGAGAAGGTTGGTTGCCCTTTTGAAAATCTGGAAGGGGCGTGGGATATTCGAAGGGTACAGACGAGACTTTGTCACAAAAGGTGACCGGAACAACAAAGGGATCTGAGTCTGTAGGCGAGGAGTTAAGATCGTCCCACGACAAATGAGGCCAAGAAATGCTAGTTCAGACAAGCGAAGGAGACGACTTACCCACTTGACCGCACAGTACCAAGGGCTTATTAATTCACTCACTTGTGAACAGACCATGGGCGGTAATTGCTTGGATTGGGGCATCCTCCACATCCATCTGCTGGTAATCCACAATAAATTTGTGGTAGCAGGTGGTGTTTGCAAGAGGGACAATGAGCTTTTGTTTGCCGGACGCGTAATTGGAAATGCTCATTAATGACACGGGCTGGACAACTGGTGGGCGGAGGAAAGAGCAATTAATAAGAAACAATTAAGTAATTACTGATTGAGTAATATACTACTAATATACTACTATATTACTATTGTATCTATCTAATACTATAGCTTAATATTACTATTATTAATTAGTTAAATAATAATCTGTGACTACTTCAGCACAAATAATAGACAACAAGGCTAATAATCTGGCAGTCTTTCGTCTAGAACAAAAGAGAGATTTGGACATCGTCTAGAGTTGAGATTCGAACACTGAGCATGCACAATCAAGAGTTCAGTTATAGGTTCAATCAATTGCGCAATTGCAATTGTTATTTAATATACGATATTACTTAAATTCACTTAGTAGTAGATTACTATTCAAGTTGACATACGCATTTCTTCCTGCATTGACGAGATACCGAATTGATCTGTTCAGAATGATCTCAGCCTAATTCATTAGATAACACGCATATTTGCGTATGCTTATATAATCTCTTTCAAAATTACATTAAAAAGTCAGTATAAGCCTAAAATGTTAGAATGTCCTGTTTCATCTGCCCTAATATGGAAAAAGTTGAATTTTTCTGTAATCCTATTTACAGTTAATTTCCCATGGCCTTGCTTGCCAAAATTTAACATTATCATTCAATTTCTGACCATATTAGATTCGATTACAATTTTATAAGCATATTCTAACATGTTATTATATATTTTATTATTTCATCGATTCATCATTAAGTGTAGTTCGGCCATCGTTTGTGGCTAAATAAATTGGGAATCGAAATTTTTTTAAACATTACATTTTAATTAAAAGTCATTTTATAATGGTTTCAAAATTACTTTTCGCGATTAACTTGAAAATTGTCCAACTTTTTTATTTTATGCATATGTACATTTATTTAATATTGTTACTGTATTATAGCATATAAAATTTAATTGTTACCTTATAATATACTTATTTATATATTTATTAATAATTCAATGCTCCCTGCCCTCGGGGTTATGCAACCGTTCAATTACGGTAGTTCACTAAGCTGTAGGTACATTATCCCCACATCATGACCGACTGATTTTTGGAATATTATGAGAAAATATCAGCCTATTTGGTTTGGGATCTTAGCTTTGCATATTTTTCGTTTATGAGCAGAGGTTCGAGACTACCAGTAAATCAGATCTATGAGTTTTGTTCACCCTATTTCGGTTAAGGTGACAAATGAAATTGAAATTTCCCATAAATTCCCACCATTCCTTCATCCACTTAAACGAAACAGAGTGAATACCGCTCATACAACTTATCTTTGCTGTCATTTTGTGGCTGATTGTAATTCTCTCCGACGTTAGCTGTTGTGTTTTGGTAAATGTTTATCTAACCTTCTGACACTCTGAAGTCTACGGAAGAAGGAGTGGGCTTTGAGCAAATCCAACTTACCTTCTGTGGCTGTCGTGTATTCAATTTCCGTGTAGGAGTAACCGCCACTTTGCTCAGAGTCTTCGTCGCTAGCCGTGGCTGCTTCTACCTCAATCAGGTAGGACACACAAGCTTGGAAGCCCTCCATAGAAAGCTCGAATCTCGAAATATTAGCAAAAGGAAATTTAATTTGCTTGAAGATAGAATTTCTGATTCGCTCCTCGGGGAGATTGGTGGGAAACTTGATAACATACATGAGAATTTCGTATTCGGATATTTCTCCGTTCTTCTGGATCGGCGGAGACCAGGATACAAGCAACTGATTCAAGTCGACCTGTTTGACGACCAGATTTTCTACATAGCCCGGAGCTGAAGTTGACAGAGACATGAGTCAAAGTTTACAGTTTTAGGTGGGCAAATTGAAAAATGATTAAATTCTAAGACTAGTTCAGCAGAACAATGGTAGAATTATGCTTAGCTTAAAAATAAGATATAGAGCAAGGCAGTCGAAGTCTGGCTTTAATTATAATTAATGAGTGCAATTTTGCAATGTTTACTTTGATTCTAAGATCAACCATATCATGTCATACAATAGTAAGATTAGTCTTATTTTTACTCGGTCTAGAAATAAAACAAAATCCACGTAACAAGCAAGGCTTAAAAGAAACTTGTCGTTATTTCTCGACCTTTGTATATGATGGGAATTTCCTAAATGAATGGAAACTTATGCTATACTGAAGAAAAATATTGCAAAATTGCAGTAATTAATTGCAATTAAGACCAGACTCACGCAAAAATTGTGCAAGGCCCTTAGTTCGGAAGACTTCCTTAAGCTCCAAAGAATAGCGGATAAATCGCATGATACAGTTTTTCGGCATTATATGTTTATTAAATGAGATGTATTCATTTTAGTAGGTTTAGTGTGATCAGGATATGCCCCCAATGACATGAGTAGAGCTGACATTTTTATTTAATTTCACATAGCCTTGCTTTGCCAAAAGTTGTTCCCATCAAGGCTGGCAGAAGTGGACTGCAGTTTCCGACTCCCCAATTGGGACTCGAACCATGACAGGCTGGCGTGTAGGCTCGATCCGCTAACGACTGCGCCAACTTGCCACGAGTGCAATTGGGTCACAGGGCAGATGTGAACTTCAAGGAAGGTCAGGCATTTTCCATAGCACATTCTGCACTAGCATCATTCGACTCCCGCCAAAGGTGTGGATAAAGCCCGGGTGAGGCGGGGTCGAAATCGCGGTCCATTTCGGCCGGAAAATCAGGGCTCTGTGAAATTCAACGGAAACGTCAGCTCTACTCATAGCATTTTGTGAAAAATCAGCTTCCAGTCCGTCATCGCCCTACAAGCAATGGGCTCAACACAACTTATACATCTTTTATTATGTTTGCTATCGGAAGGTCACTTGTTTCATCCTTCTCGGCGTGAAACGATCGTACATTTGAGCAGAATCATCAGATTGGTCATGCCCAACATCTTCTGTCCTACAATTGCCAACAATTGTGACTTAGACCCTCTTTTTCGGCTAAAAGTTTTCGTAAAGTCGGTTTCGGAATGTATTCTCATGGTCTCGACCAAATAGCGAACGCAGCTCTCACACTTTCCTCGTTCCAGCATAAAAAGGGAGAAATCTACCTGCTGGCAGCGTCTTGAAGACAATCGCTGGTGAGGCGTATTCTCCCATTCCCCCGCCAACTCCGAAGATATTTGGCGCTGCAATCGCTGCTACGGAGGCTCTGTACTCGGTGAAGGGGCTGAGGTTAGTAATTGTGGCGTGCACTTGGGAGTGAGGTACCGATTGCTGTTTGAAGGAACAAATAAAATAATTTAATGCTACAACTTAGCATTTTCCAGTGCTTTAACTAATTCTTTATGAATTATTATTAGTACCTGTATAGGTACAATCATCATCATCATTATCATCATCATCATCATCATCATCGTCATCGTCATTATTATTATTATTATTATTATTATTATTATTATTATTATTATTATTATTATTATTATTATTAT